ATAACAATTATTATTAATATTTATGAACATCGCAGACTGTTCGTTCGCCTGAGTATGTCAAATAATGAATGACTCATCGAAGACCAGATTTCGCATATTGCACCACCGCATGAGTCGTTTTTTATTTGAAATACTTGGTCATAGGAACACCTTACGTTTATGCTGCATCATATTAGGTTTAGCAGCTCCTGAAACATCGTTCTTAATGAGAGCGGTGTGGCTCTGGCTGATTAAAGTTATTTGAAACGCATCTGGCACTAATGGAGCTTAAATGCCGTGTATTTATGCCCTGCTTAAATGGCCCCTAGGCAATATTCCTTGAAATGTGGTCTTACAGGAGTCATTTGCTACAATAATTGTGCTATATTTGTTGTCGTTAGTAACATTAATATTAGTTTTGCTAATTACGGTATATTCTTCGATAACATTCTTCATTGTTCGAAAATAAACCTAGTTTGTATCTATTACTTAGTTACTATTCATTTGTTGCTACTTGAATTCTTGATGCTGTTTACACCTATTTAGCGTTCGCAATCAGCGGCCTTTCGTCGATATATTTTCCTGGCTTTCGATCGTTCATCTCGAAACTGGTTTCTCGCTCTGAAAGTGGTACGTGACATAATCAAAATTTTCTCACCAGGGTCACAATTGCCTTTACTCTCGTTCCTTCATTTCTGTCGTTACAGCGCGAATATTTGCCATAATCTCGTCTTTGGAACACCTCAGCCCAATTATATCAGCCGTCATCTTTGGCAACCTCTTTGTGGTTACGGTGGACGTCGACCCTTCGATTGTGTTTTACCTATCGGCCGGTGTTCAGGTACTAACATGCTGTTTCGTGGGGTACGCTTAAGTTGTGGTTCTGTGTTGTTTATGTGCTGTTGGTTTTTTTTTAGATGGATACATTACAACACTCGTGAAATCGCGATCTGCACTGAAACCAGCGATGATGATAAACAGGTGTTGGTGCAGGAGGTTGAAGAGGATGACAACGAAGTCGTCGTTGACTCGGTTCCTTGAAAAACTAAAGTCAAAGATGTTCTCGTTTTATGTTTAAGCAACACTGTGTTGCGTTTTGCTAGCATTGCAAAATTTCGAACCATCTTTAGCACACGTTTCAATAGTTGAATTTATCCCGGGTCCTCTTTAAATTAACTTTGTTTATCCTCCTAATTGACAGCTTTCACAGTTGCTTGATATATTTTGCAGTCACTGGTTGACAGCTGACGTTCTACTTTTGAAGAATATTTAACTCAACGTACTTGCCAATATACTTCTATATTTTGGCATTCTGTGTGTGATTCACCATTTTCTTTTCAGCAGGCGTTCGTTTATGCTTTCAACGGAAATCTACGGATCAGTGACTTGTTTCTGTTTAGTACACCGTATTTGAGTTGTTGAAATTTGTTCGCGTTACTCTCCCTAATATGATACCTTTTATTGTTTTATTTACGAATTACGGGGTGCCTTATGAAATGTATAAAGCTGAGAAAGTGGCGAAAATGTAATCCTGTTCTTTGTTGCACTGTTCTTATTTGATACCGGTAAAAATAAAGAATGCAAATTCTGTAACCGTTAGAATGTCGCCCTTACTCATTCATGATAATGCCATTTCTTGTGTCCTTCTTTTCAAGAAGTTAATCGTAGGGCTTTCATGCCATCAGTCACGAATGCCTTATTTCAAACACAGAGTCGACAACAGTTGTGGCAAGCACAATTTTTGTCTACTGTTTGTACCAATTTATCAACATCCGAAGGAACAGTGAAGACGAACGCTGGAACCCGGGCCTTCTCAATTCTGAGTGAGATGTTCCATAGACTGAGCAACCGCAGACTAATGATCCCTGAAAAGTGGCCAATGACAGTGTATACAGATCAGATCACTCGGCTTTACTGTGAATTCTTCGTACTCCACACCTGATATGGATCGTCACCTTCAGACTCATCCTGTTTTCTGAGACCTACCTTCAAAGAATATATACGCTGAAGCTCTGACCGAAGCCGAATGCTATTTCCTTATACTGCAACAGTGCTACGGCAACAACCACACAACAGCTATCTTCCCTTTTCATATTGCTTGTGATGACGGCATTCATTCATCCACCATGGACGCTTCTTTCAGCTCGCGGAGGCAGACACGTCAGACACTGCTTCCAGCGTTCCGGATCCTGTATTAGAGTCTGAGCTTCGGCAAAAGGCAACTGGCGGCTGGAACAGACTCCTTCCATATATTTGCACCAGGTTAATCTTGGCCGTCCCCAGGGCCTTTTGCCGGTCG